CTGTAAGGCAGCCACTGCCTCTGAACACAGAGAGGAACTCATTAATGAGCTACAGGAGAGACTGAACTGTGAAGAGACAAAGCAGTGATAATACATAACTGCTTAGATTGGTCAAAGCAGTGTTTGAGAAGGCTGAAAAGAAAAAAACACCCACTGCCAAGAAGTGCCAAGAGGATGGAAGAGTGTGAAATGTTCAAGGCAATGCTGGGTTTAACACAGGCTGTTATGAATTGGAATTATTGTTGGAAGCTACCTAGACACTATGGAAAACAAAGCCTGATGGTGTATATAAAAATGGAAGGAGAAAATATATCTTACCTGGAATATAATGGCCAATTCTATGTATTTATCTACAGAGCAATCTAACAGGAGCAATTAGTCACTGCTGAGACAGAAGACAAAATAAGTGAAAGAGAAACTTGCATAAGAGGGATACAACCCATTGAGAAGTGTAGAAAACTCATAACTGAGCCATTTTAGAAAGATGTAAGAGCAGAAGGCTAACTTGAAGTACAGCAAGGGGAAATGTTTTTATTGAACACATCGTTGACGTGTATAACTCAGCACCAAAGTAAATGTAAAAAGATTTAAGTATTTTAAATTATTTCTAAAAATAAACACTTTTGTATGTATGTTGTCACTTTTGTGACAACCTTCAGAATTACATCAGAACTGATAAAGACATTTTTTATATTTATATAAGCATATAATAGAAATCCTCCAAGTTATAAGAGAGTAACTGACTTTTAAGGGAAAAATCCTCACATGTGAACAGAACTGAAACACAACTGTCAACATCTTGTGGGGTTTATTCTTTGTATAATCAATCCAGTATGGTCTGTCTCAAGATATTGAGCTAGATGGATTATTGATCTTATTTAATTTGGCAAATTCTGCTGGTCTTGGATGCGTTTTTTCCCATTATTTATTTTTTTTAAGGAATAGTACCTCTAAACTATGAATAGACAATAGAAGGGATTTTTTTTTTAGTGATGTCCTTTATCTCTAGTGTCACTGTGATTAGCAGTGCTTGGACAGGTTATCTGAAGGTTTGATTTTTCAAAGGTCAGTGCTTTTAAATGGGCAATTGTTATCTGATATTTTCATTACATGATATGAAAATATAGCATTCAATAAGTCTTGTTTTCTTCATAATCAGTAATACAGTTATCAGACAGGCTGCACTGATGATTTAATTCTGGTCACCCATAGCAAGTGCCCTTGATAGAATAAAAAAAATACCTTTGTAAGTAGTGCCCTTTTGGTGAGCATCCTTTTCTCATAGCAAAAATAATACCTTAAGATTGCAACTATAATGCTTCTGATCATGGTGGTTTCCACTGAAAAAGGTGAATGGGCACACACACGCCTCTCTGAAGAGGACACAGTCTGAAGTACAAACAAGAGCAGAGAGATGGGAAGCAATAGAGCACAAGTGTCTGAAAGCAGACAGTGGAGTATCTTGTGCCTTGGATCCGTAATTGCCTCTCTTTTAAAGTGTGGCTGTGTTGGTTTGAGGTCTTTTAATGACTTTTGTACAGTGATAACTAAGATTATAGGCAATTTTCTTGACAATTAAGATTGTCAAGAAAAGTTACATAAAGCAGTTGCATACGGGGAAAAAATAGGAATTCTTTTCTTCCCCGTTTGCCATAGCCTCATAAATTGTGACTCTTGCAGCTCAAGATTTTCCATATAATCATTCCCAAGCCGTGACTCTTTCCCAAACACTGATCATTCATACATTGCTTTTAGAAGATGTCATGTTACTGCTGCTGGTTGAGTGGAGTATATATTCCCTCCTCAGTCTGAAACTGTCAATGCTCTTTAGTATGATAGTTCCTGTAATTGGTAATTGGTAGGAGCTGAAGGAGCTCATTCAATTGAGTGCTCCTCTAGACTCACTTCCTCTGAGATTAGGTACATACTGTGTAGCAGTAATTTCTGGCCTTCAGAAGGAATTATGAGTGAAGTATCAGAGAAGTAACAGAATCCCTCATCTGATCCAAGAAATGTGTTTATTGCTGCCTGGGTCAGCACAGAGGCTGGAATTAAATCACCATCAAGCTGCTTTGTGTGTAATGATCTGACAAATGTGTATGATATTGTTGTTTGTATGCATGCTGCAGATGTTTGTGTTCAAATTTATGAAAGCCTGGATTCATTTTACAGTGCAAACATATGTTAAATTTAGGAGCCTGGGTACTTTCTAGGTTTACAAGCTCAATTTCTGTTTGTCATGTATAGATATCTTCGTGTTCCTGCACCATCCACAAAGTTACCAACCTTCATCAGGCTTCATTTTAACATAGGTGTTTGGGGTTTTTTTTCCCCAGTTCTGGAAATGGATGGCTGCACCAAAACTCTTCTTTGAAGCTTAAAAACCTTTTTCTCATTTCTAGACTAAAATGTTATATGAAAGACTTTTTATTTTTCTTAATGTGACACTATTATTATTCTTTATCTAAAGCATTTCTTTTTGGTGGTACTTGTTTACTGATACATTAACAGGGAGATACTCTTATCACTTTTCAACCTCTATTCAATTGTGTCAAGAAAATCAACCCTTTTATCTTCGTCTCATAAAAAAGTCTCAATTCCCATGCTGGTTTCAGTACCTTTTTTCTGCTCTTCTTCCAATATGCTTGCATTCTTTAAGCATGGATATACAGAATGAGGGAGATTATTCTAAATTAGATCTGATCTGCAGCTTACTTAAATAACATACTCATAGTTCTGCTATACTGAAGATACCTTGATGTGATGGAGCAATACAGCTGCCTTTTTTTGTGTTTGTGTCACATGGATCAGTTTTAATTATCCTATAATATATACACACAACACTCTTCTTCTCTGCCAAACTTGCAGTTGATTGTCTCACAGAATATTTTCAGGAAAACTAAGTAACTGGGACTTACATGGATGTGAGATATGTAAAGGTAGCAAACAGAGTAGGAGAAATGGTTAGTTCTTGAAGGAATGGTTTGTCCATTCCCCTAGGGATTGTCACTGGTGGTGTTCCTTTAGATATGTGTTGGGCTTGTGCTATTCAGCTTATTCCTAAATGACCTGGAAGAGGGAAACAACTAAGTTTACTAGGGATGCAACATTAATTAAGGCAGTGAGGAAGATGGAAGAGCCCCATGACAACTGGGCAGTAAAGGGTTATTTGAAAATGAGTGTGGATAAAATCATGCTCAGTCATAGTTTCAAACATTAATTGATGGGATATGCCCTGGTGGATGCAAGATCCGAGAGTTTTGATAGACAGGGCCAAGAAAGCGTCAGCTCAGTGGTAGTCAGAAATGCCAGTCAAACCTCCAGCATTATTAGGCACAGAGTAGAACACTTCTCTACAATTTCATAAATCTGATTGAACAGCTCTGTGCAGTTTTGATCCTTTTATCTCAAAGCAGATGAAGCAAACAGAAGGTGAGCAGGAAAAAAAAGCCATTAATTAATGTGATTTACCAGTCAAAAAGACTGAGCGTGAGTAAATTATTCATAATATCATTAAAATTCAAGTACAACTGAAATTTCCTGTTGGGTTAGCTAACACAGAGAAATTGCACCTTATGTGTTTCTTCTACAAGACTTTGTACATTGTAGCGATGTCTTGCCTGCCTCTCATTGTCTGGAAGTGTCTTTATGCATCTTAAGAAAAGGAAATGTTATTTTTTATTTACTCCTCTGGAAAACTTAAAAAGCAATGATTCTATTACTAAATCCATCAAAGTAGAGAAGAAATCTCTTTTGTTCATATAAAACTTGAAGTGACTTGCAGAACAGCCAGTTTCACAGGAGAGCAGGCAGAGTTCCCAGAAGGCCTCATGGAATGTCTGCCTGGTCTAGTGCTGCACTGGGCAGACTGGGGAGGTGCAGAGTGAGTCCAGTTCAGAATCAGAGGCAGCATCACCCTGAATTCATGGTGTATTCTGCCTGGACTGCTCAAGATAGCTGGTTGCAGTAGCTCTGGAAAATGCCTTGCTGAACAGCAGTAATATAACCCACATGAGCTGGCTGATCTGAGGCTGCAGAATTGGTAGGGCTTGTCTGCACTTGCTTGGTTTGATATCAGTGTAAAGGCTGCCCAGATTAAATTCCAAGAGATTTCCTTTTCCTAGATGCAATGAAAACAATTTTTTTTTTTCTTTTATTGTTGTCAAACAGAAGAAAGCATTCCTGGTTTATCTGGATTTACTGTCTCTTTCTGTGGCAATGAGTTACATTTAGAACCAAATGCTGTCTTCAGAGTGCGCTTTGACAACATAGCCACTTGCACTGGGTACAATTGCACAGGTTTGTGACATTGGGATTGCTGGCTGTGATCCACCCGTACACCAGGGGATCCATTCCTGTGCTCTGTTCATCCTCCTGGTGTGTAAATGGTGAGGCAAAAATCTAGCCACAGTCACTGGATCCTTGGAGTTTTGTAGTGAAAAATGTTTGTTCCGCTTTTAGATACCTTTGATGGATTATATTCTGTGGAAGCTTGGAATTAGATAGCTTGGAATGTTGATTCTATGTAATCTTCTGTGTAATTTAATTGATTTTCACAAAAGGTGTTAGAGCGCGTTACTGTAGATGTAGGAATATTTTTCTGAAGTATGTATTATTCCAATTTATAAGGTGGGTAGAAAAGTTACATCACCCTGTAAAGCTAAATGAAAACTTCAGCAGGAAAACCCAGAATCAAATACAAATTTCCTGGCATAAGCTTCCACTCCTGACTAGGTCTTTCTTCCTTCTCTGAAATAAGCACGTATACAATGATGTTCACAATTTTGAAGTCTAAAAATATTTGGGTTTACTTGCTCATGGCTAGTACTGAGTTTTGTTTGCCTGCATAGAACAGACCTTTGAACACCATTTGTCAAGAACAGCAGAATTCAGAATTACTGATAGTGCAGCTTATTCTTCTCACTCAATATAGCCAATATCAGACTGGTACCCGAGCTCTTACCTTTAACTCAACCCGTGCCTGCTCTGCTTTGTTGCAGGTTATGGACACACAGTGCCTTTATCTGATGGGGGAAAGGCCTTCTGCATCATCTACTCAGTCATCGGGATCCCGTTCACGCTGCTGTTCCTGACGGCCGTGGTGCAGCGCATCATCGTGTACGTCACCAGGCGGCCGGTGCTGTACTTCCACATTCGCTGGGGCTTCTCCAAGCAGGTCGTTGCAATCATCCATGCCATGGTCCTCGGGTTTATCACTGTCTCCTGCTTCTTCTTAATTCCAGCAGCAATATTTTCTGTCCTGGAAGATGACTGGAATTTTTTGGAGTCTTTTTATTTTTGTTTCATTTCCCTGAGCACCATTGGCCTCGGAGACTATGTGCCAGGAGAAGGCTACAATCAAAAATTCAGAGAGCTATATAAAATTGGAATTACATGTAAGTGTCAATCTAACCAGCTAAGTGAAAGGCATTTTCTATTAAGAAAAAAAAAATCTACACCAAATTGGTGATCAGACTTCTCCTCTCCATTCTCAATAACGATCATTTGTCAGCTAGCAAACTGGGCATTAATTTAGGTAGCTCTGTAAAAGGGAAACTGTTAAGTAAGGTCAATTAGGGAAGGTCTTAGAAAAAGCTAAAACTAGAATTTCATTATTCTAAGCATAGCTATTTACTCTCTTATTTATAGTAGAAAAAAAAACCCTCACGTAACTGTTATGAAAATGGTTAAGAGCATTTTGGGCTAACATTTCAGCGCATCACAGGGCCAAGATGATCTGTGTAACCTAAGGTAATCCCACAAGGTTAGATGACAGGTGGACAGAGATGAATCAAGAAGCCATGGAAAATGAAGTGGAATAGCAAAGTTTCTGACTCCTGTTGTAACAGAAGGTAGCTGAAGCTGGCATTGGTACATACCAGCTGTCAAAGACAGACAAATAGACTGAGATGTTAGAAAAGCAAGACCATGAATGCTAAATTTAAATTGTTTCATTATATTTGACACAGAAGAAATCATGGTGATTGATGATTTTAAGGAAGTGAATCTTTTTAAGAAGAAAATTACCTTTATGTTGGTATTCTGAGTAAATATATGCTGAGGGCAGTATTTTCCAGTGACAGCATTTTGAAACATTGCAGTTTCTCACACAGGTTCAACCTGAGCAGTCTTTGAGTATTCAAAGGCATCAGTTAAAAGATCTGAACAGCCAAAGCAAACCTTTCCCATCAGGTCTGTTTCTTTGGCTGGTCTGCATTTGACTGTGCTTCTGTGCATGATCCAGCAATCATAATGTAGGCAAAGTGTCTGTTAACTTGGTTTTGTGTTTTACCTGAAGAGAGTTTTTTTTCATGCCTTGAACTGGCCAACAGAGCACTTCGTTTTATTATCCTGCTAGGCCTTTAGCCATTGCAGATTTCCTCCTCTCCCTGTCATGTTTATCTTATGAATGATAGCTTTAATTAACCTGCTGATCTGCAGAGTTGATTTGGGGATGCTAAATGGTGAAGTGAATGGAAAGTCACAAATGAAGATGACCTTGTTGCAGGCTTGCTGTTCTGAAAACTCAAAATCTGATGAAAATATTATGGCTCAGATTAAAGCTTTTCCAAGCTGTAGAGCAATTAGGAAATAAACTGCAGGATATACTAAAGGAAATACTAAAAGGAAAAGATAGCTTTTAGACAAAGTTATGACCTTAGAGTATCTAATTTCAATAGGTTTTAAGGTTATAACTTTAATATTATTCTTTTTCTTTTCATGTGAACAATTCAAGGAATCAAATAAAATGTTTCCTCCTCAACCTGAATTTTCTGTAAGATATTTTGGACTTCTACATCAGAAAATGCTTAATGAGTACTACAGACTTTTCAAGAATTTCTAGGAGAACACAAGTCCTGTTTTAAATTAAGTGGCAATCAACTGGACTGAGTTTCAGAGATAATTACAAATTCTCAGTGCAGATTTATAGATGCTTTTCAATTGATATAACTTTGTCAGTTCTTCCTTGTGCTAATGCATAGCTTCCATGTGATGTTATGGTATAAAGTTTTTAAAAAAATGATAAATTTTAGCTGTAGGGCTGATTTAGATGAGTATTCAGTATTAAGAAGTTGATTAATGGTACTCCTGGAAGGAAAAGGAGAGTGTTCCTTCCAGTTAATAATCTGTAACTACAGGTGAAATATTTATGCCTTTAGGTAACAGAACAGTGACCATATGGAAATGATAATCATTAATCTGTGTTGATTTTTCAGCGCACTTAATGTTCAGCCCTTGGACAGGCGCATTCTGCTAATAGTTACACACTTAGCTTCTGCTTGATTTACTTCACTGAAATGATAAAATAACTAAGTAGTCACACTCCTCATTGAATTGTAATGATCAGAAGCAGGGATTTAATGAAACACTGAAACATCTTCCCTTAAACTATACATGTTCTATGTTCAGAGAGGATAAAAAAAAAAGAGCACAGTGTGCTGCTGGTCACAGAGATTTCCATTTCCAAAAGTTTCAGTCTATGAGAGCTGACTATTACCTCCAAAAATAAGTCAGTCAGCACGTGGCTAAAGTAATCTGTAATACATTTTAGATAACACTTCCAGGTTTTGGGTAATCTGTGTACCTTAGTAAAACATTGCAAATATCCCCAAAAGATGGAGTAACTGTGTCAGGTTTTTCAGTTTCCAGGAGTAATTTTACAGTAATTTTTCATTTTGGTTTTATTAGATTTGTGCACTTTTCTAGTTGCTTTGTTTTTCCAGGTATTTCAGGGTGTTGTATGTCTAATAATTTTAGAGGAAAATAATTCAAATGAAATAGTAAATGATTTGTCCTGCTTAACTGATACAAATAACCAGTGGCCATAATTAGCTCTCATATTTTTACTTCTTCTGGTAATATATAGGAATATTGTGGTAAAATTTTGTTTTCCATCTTTCGATCAAAATCTTTTGAAGGGCACTTAGTCATGAAAGTCACAAGTAAGTAGGGGAGCATGCATGTGGTAAATTTTAGTGTTCTGATTTTTTAATACCTTTACACATTATTTTTTTCTTGCACAGCTGTAACAGAATTGAAGCCACTAGTATTATTTTTTCTGTTTATGTGGAGTCTTGCTGGTTGTAGAATTGAAAAGAAAAATAACAAAGATATCACAGATATCAGAGATGACAGGGGTGAGAAAAGTCACAGGCTCAAAACTGGTCCAGTCCTAGTTTGCTAGTAACTAATTTTTTTATTTTTTTTCACTCAGGTTATCTGTTGATGGGCCTTATCGCAATGTTGGTGGTTCTTGAGACTTTCTGTGAACTCCATGAGCTCAAAAAGTTTAGGAAATTGTTTTATGTGAAGAAGGACAAGGAAGAGGACCAAGTGCATATAATGGAACATGACCAGCTCTCCTTCTCTTCCATCTCAGACCAAGCAGCCTCCATGAAGGACGATCAGAAGGCAAATGAGCCTTTTGTGAATTCCCAGTCCCCAACTTCCAATGACAGCTCTCTAAACAATTAATACACAGGTATCAATACCGGTGTTTTGGTGCATTTATGCTACTTACCATAAGAAATAGAAAGCCTCATATTTTTTTTCTCAAAATATAAAAGCTGGAAGACTGTGCTGCTTTAACAAGGATTCATCACTTCTGACATAGAAAAGACTTTCGTGAAAAATGTGGGAGCCACCCTGGGAAAAGGGAATAAATGTAAGATGTGGCTGGGAACATAAGGCCATTTTGGTTGAGGGATAAGGATTTAGGTGTACCACACTGAGATGCCAGAGAGAAAGGCTTGCACAAACAGCTTCATTGAGCATCTTTAGGAGACTAGGCCTTCACTGACACCCAGCTCATTGAGTTGCACGCCCCATCACACAACTGGTTGACAGCAGATTTTGGGATGTGTACTTTTGATAGTCACAGTTTTAATCCAGTAGCTAGCATCTTAATCTGGAAAACATTTTCAGAGCAATATCTCTAGATCTGGTGGAGGGGGGAATATCTAGGTCATTCCTCTATTACCCAGTAACTTGCAGGTGCAAACAATATTCCTAGGAAGGAAAGAACAAGACTGCAGTCCCTCCTTTGCCCATGCCATTTATGTCTAAATTTTCTACTTCCTTAAAAGGTTCTCTAATCACCAGAAAAATGTTGTCCTGAAGAGAGTGTGCCTTGAGTCTTCCATACTGTTTGGTTTTTTGTATGAAGTACTTTTCTGAGAGATAGCAAAAGCAATTCAAAGCTCTGGATGAGGTGAGATGGTAGGGAAGGAAGACAGATGCATTTCAGTCTTCTGAAATGAGCAGGGGTGGGTATTTAGCTGCATGGAATGGAATAAAAACAAGTTAGCATATGCCACACATGACTGGCAGAGTCATGTGCTTATGGCATTCTCTTAATAGACGGTTGAAATGTGTTCAGCAGAAGGACTCGGTGCTGTTCCTCCCACGGTCCAGCCCAGCATGTACTCTGTTGAGCTGTTGGGTACACAGAGGAACAGCATCACCTTTGAACATAGCTCCTATTTCTTCTTTTGCTTTTCTAACTGGTACTTGGAGTGCTTTGGAGGAGAATGGAATGTTTCAGGTCAAAACAATTTTTCAGTTTTTCATATGGCAAGAAAAAAGGAAAAATGTCACATTTGGTTCAGATGGAACCGAATTTTTTTCCCCTTGGGAAAAGTCACTAAAAAGTCAAGATCTCGCTCTTCTTCTGAAGCTGGAACCTCTTTGGCTGTAACAGGAGAGGTGTTTTAGTCCAGCTACCAGTCACTGTGCTGAATGCAGGGACCTCAGAGTGAATTTCAGTGAGCATAACACAAGATTTATGTGGTTGTAGTACTTTCTCTTCTGGCCTTAAGAATATTATGATAGGGGAATCTTGATAATGCTTTGCAATGAACAAAAGATCTGGAGCACAAATAGCCATATTAGGACAGCCTCCCACATAGGGTCAGTGTAGAGGAGAGCCTTTTACCTGCAGTGCAAGCATGCCAGATTGCCTGTAATTAGGCTTTTAGTGTTTAGAGCTGAATAATAGTTTACTGTAAAAGAAAAAAAAAAATGCAGTGTGTCTAGATTTAAGCGCACGTGGGAAAAATACTTGAAAGTAAATAACCCAAAATATACTGTGTTTGAGCTTGATTATAGCTAGCATCAAACAAATTTTTATATCTTTACTGGAAAAACTTACTTTATGGTTAAATCAGCTGAAAGTCTTCAATTGAAATTTATATTTATAGAAAATCAGAGCTAAAGGTTTTGGTTGTTTTGAGTTTTATAGATTAGGTGAGAGCATATTGTGTTTGCATGTTCCCAGGAAAGTGGCTATTTTTATACTGCTTAGGTTAACACAGTTCTATTTATAATGAATGTTAACCAATATATATGTACATATATACATAAATATATTTATATACTGTACATATATCATAAACCACCAGAGTCTAACAGACTTAGAAATGGCATTTTAGATAACTTTTCCCCTAGTCTCCTCTTTATACAGTCAATATTTGAAAACTATGGCATTAAAATGACACTGACATAAAATTAAGAGTACTGTACTGTAAGAAACATTTATACTATTTTTTTCATTGGAACTTTATTGTTTTCAGTACCTTAAAATTCAAAATTTCTTTTAATTTCTGTGTAGTGTTAAGCTCTAAAGGATATGCACAGATGTTAAATGATATACAAAGTTACTTTTGCAGCGTGTACACAAATGCAAAATGTAGACACGTGAAGTGAAAGCACAGAATTCAAAGCAGAAGCGATAAACTAAGCAGTATACTGTGATTGTAGGTGAATATTTGTTATTTTAAACTTAAATAAAAAGTCTGGCTTTTGCCTGCCTGCACTATGAAGTGGGAGTATTTTCTTTAGTGGTGTGTGTGCCTTGAAGAAATCCTGTCTGTGTTTGTGCATCCTTTAGTTAGCCTTCCTCAGCTCAAGGAGGTTCTATTAATGTCAGTGTTATACCTAACCTTGATATTAATTGTGGTTTAGTATTGTGTGGTTATTCCTTAAAAAACAAAAAAAAAGAAGAAAAGCAATCCAAATTTTGTTTCAGATGATGACTGATTATAACAAATAAAAAATAGTGACATAGCCTTTATCGTGCCCTCATGAACCAACTGCTCCAATATCTGAGAAATCTGAAAAACTGACGAAAGTAATGGCCCTCGTTTCATACAGCTTTTACATCATCACATGAAGCCAACATATAAGATGAGTTAAAACAGGAATCCAGATCAGAAGGAGAAAGATTATCATGCAAGAACCTCAGTATAAAGTGCCTCCCTTACCTAGAGGCAAACTGTGAAGCAGGTGCATGTAAACCCAGATGGAGAGCATGGCTCATAAAGCAACAGTGCTGAAAAAAAGTTGCAAGAGTTAGAAATGCAAGCAAATTACTTGTACACATAAAAGAATTGCCTGGGTTCTGTCGTCATTCTCCTGTCTTCAGTTATTCCAGGCATATATCCCATTAATAGCTTTATTCTTGTGCTGCAGCTGACATTTCCCATCTTCTCTTTGTCTGTCAGTCATTAAATATAAACTTGTTGTATTGTTATTTTAAGGGAAAGAACTGGCAGGATATTCATTGTGTTGGAGGAAAGAAAATGGAAGAACCCACTTGAGTTTCGATTTTGGAGCTGAGTGACAGCCATGCTGTCCCTTAATGAACATGTTCTCTTCCCTAGGTTCACCAGTGGCACCTTGTGTGGGTGCTGAAGACTTGCTGGAGGTTGAAACAAGTTATTTTCTAAGTAGGTAACTCCGGAGGCTGGGGCGGTTTGCAGCTTTAATGTCAGCACTGCAAAACCTCCCTAGCTGGGTGCTTATGTCAGAGGAGTTGCATAAGACCAGCAGTTCTGGACTGCATTAAATATTTGTCTAGCCCAGTGTTTTGTCTCTGGCAATGGCCAGGAGCAATATGTGATAATTGTGTAAGGAAAGGGCAAGTGCACAGCAGCCATTCCCCAGGAAGTTCTCCTAGCTCCCAGCAGTGTGCAGCTCTGGATGCATGACAGTATCTGGGGGGGATGGAAAGTCAATGTAGGTGTGGTGTGTGGAAGAGATTCTACACTGAGGTGCCTGCTCTCTGCTTTGGTCAGTGAGAGACTGTCCTGCACGGGATCAAATGGAGATTTCCCACAAAGCTGTTTCAAGTTAAGTGCTTCGCAGTTAGCAGATAACTTGCATGAGACGAGCTCTTGAAAAAGGGAAGGAAGGGAAAAAGGGGAAAGGAGAAAGCCTTTTATGCACTGTTACTTGGACAGTGCTGTCTTCCAGGTAGGTAGGAACTTGCATAGGACCTGTTTGCTAATGCCATATCTTGAATCTCCACATTACAATTGGCTTTGTAAACAGTTGCCAGAAATGTAGTGAGATGAACCAAAAGTTGCTAAAAATACTACTGCTCTAACATTATTCCATTATTATTCATTCTTCTAGATTCTGCTTTCTACTGAAGCAAAATAAAGTTACTATAACGGGAAGTAGTGTTATTCCAAGTGTGCACCAGGACAAGACAATGGGGTTTCTCTTCTCTGCACTACTACCTATCAGAATTGCAGCATATATCAAAAAGCTCATAGATAGCAAAAAAAAAAATCTTCTTGCTTGTTTCGAACAGAAAATCATGTTTTTGAGATCCTGGAGGCTGCCTCTGCAAAGCTGCACCTTGCTTAATGCAGATTAGGTACTTGGTGTATGTAATTTCAATGCCCACCATGTTAGTCTCATCGCTTCCTAAATCACCATTCTACTCATTTTTGATCACGGAGGTCTTATCACAATTATCTTCAAAGGTCATTGTGTTGCCACTGTGTTTGAGGACTGCGACACAGTTATTTTGCTGGTGATGATGCAGTTTTGCCAGAGCCATTGCCTTAGCTGGTAACAAGATGATCTCACTCGTGGCAGTTGGGGCCAAATGACAGATTTAGGTAATGAGGAGGGACAGTGTGGCTGGGAGCAGGTGCATGGGCTGACAGCCAATGTCAGGGAAAAATCATCCTGGCAAACTGCTAAGTGACCACACAGTTTTTGCTGGGCTTCATTGCCTGTCACTAGGAGTTAGAGGAAGGAAGAGCAAGGACATTGCCAAAAGTCATCTGAACTGAAGTTTAGTGGAAGTAAGTTTTTCACCATCTATCTACAGTCTGCAGCTCTCTATTACTTCAGTCTCACCATATAGTCTACGAATCCAGATAATGGTTTGGCATTTCCCCAGTGTAGATGGCTCCTGTGGCCCCTGAGGCAAGTTAAGCTTGTTATCCTAACAAGCTTTTTCTGTGTTAAGTTTACTGAGTGTTCAGATCCATGAGCAGGAGCGTAGGTCAGTGTCCCTGCTGAAATTTTCCAAGGGCAAGTGTGGCTCAAGGCACTGCCTGGCCTTGGGTCAGCCTTTCATTTCAGTGCCTAGGCTGCCTGGAAAGACAGGAGTGATCTCTGTGCCTTAAAGGGTGAGAAAGCCACTCATCTGGGAGGCTCAAAACTCCCCAAATCCATCTGGTGCTGATTCCAGGGGTTTCATAGTCTTGTGTATATAGTGCATATGTGCAAGTATCTGGAGTAGCACATAGAACTGCCACTTCTTTTCTCTATGCCTGATTTTTTTTGAGACTGGCTGACCCCCTTAACCTTCTGAATTTCTCTTCTCCATTTAGGAACATGGCTCACAGTACTCTCTGGCTGTCCTTAAGCTCTCACTAGTACCTAGCTGGGCCATATCAATAGGTGGCAAGGTGAGACTCAGAGAGTAGAAAGGGACTTCATCATCTGATAGGGACTAGGGGAGGGGGAAGGAAAGCCCCATCCCTGCCCTTTAGCTGCAGCCACCGCTTTATTTCTAAAACCATTTCCAATGTCTGGCACAAAAGGACTGTATGATTCACTCATCTGCACTGTGCATGTCAGCCAGTGCTCGTGCTAATGGTAACATAATGACTGAGAAACTAATAGCTCATCTAGAAGAATTAAATTGGTTTATTTTTCTTTTTGAGTGCATTACTGCTTTGCTTATGAGCATTAGACTGATTAAATCCTGGCCTGCAATATTATATCTGGACATTTCCTACAATTGTAAAGCTTCCATCTCAGCCCCACATGGGCAAAAATTAATTAGCATGTTTGCATAAACAGAAGACAGCAAACTGTAGTGTCAGTTTAAATAGGAATTAGCAAATCCTTATTCTGCGTTTATGGGCTGGTTTCCTGATTATGGGCAAAGATCTGTTAAATTTGTTTAGCGATTGCCAGCTGTGATTTGAGGCATGCTTTCTAAACGGAGATGCAAAAAATACTGCCCAGTAATGAAGTACAACATCACCTTTGGGATAAAGTCCCTCAAATGTTTAATAGGCTACTTTTGCAGATTAATGCTGTTTGCATGGGATAATGAAGCTCTGTTTGAAATTTATCATGCAAAAATGAAAATCCACACTCCATTTAACTCAAATTCCTACTACATGTTCAGTGAAGAGAAAAATCAGTGCGAAAGAAGAAAATTGCCCTCATTTTGTACCCCCTCTTCTGGGGAGCTTCACCTGGTGTTGCTGACCCTGCTGGGAGCTGTGAAAAACCCCTGGCTTTCCTGACCCATGCAGTGTGTGAAGTCAGGCAGTCTGCCTTGGGAAGGTTTGCATGCAACATCATCAGCCTCGAGAAAGTGGAGTGGTGCAGGGAGAGCAGCTTCCATGGGGCACAAGAGGAGAGACCACAGCTGCTCTGAGGCCAAAGGTAAGTAGCAAAGATGCCCAGTGAAGGGGGCTATGGTGGCATCTGGAGAGTCAGGGGCAGTCAGGCTGCTCCAGCCCAGCCCCTGGGGAGGGGTCAGTGCCCAAGGAAGTGTGAAGAGGGGAGGAGAATAATTTGACAGCAGGATTACCAAAGAGGTGGTGTCACTAATACAAAACTGGTCAATCTTTTATAAGTAGGAGGTGTGGAGGGAAAAGATTAATTTCTGTCTTTTAAAGGCAGAAAGGACCTTTTTGATGCTCTTCTGTGACCTTTTACAGTAACCAAGACAAATTGCATATATTAGACCATATAGGATCTCCAGGTCTGACAGAAGCAGTCACAGCTCTCATCCTTGGTCCCTGATCTAATTACCTTCCCTGATAAAAAATCCTGTTCTCTTCAGCTAACTGCACAATTTCTAATTGTTCCAAAAAGAGCATTGCTATAGGACTTTTTGTAACATGTTTGATAAGTGACAGACCACATTATATTAGCTACCAGCTTGCCCTGAAAAGATGAGCATCCTTCAGATATCCTCTTTAACAGGTGAAGCAGGCCATGCTCCTCTGAGCACTGAACATGAGCATCTTGTCAAAAGCTCAGCTCATTCCTGGTCCAGTTTTTCAACATGCATTTTTCAGCACAGCACTGAAGCCAGGGTGCCACACTCCTGCCAATACCCAGGGTGGTAGCTCTGCAGAGGAGCTGTGCTGTGGCCATGAAGTAGTAAAGGGAGATGGCATTATCCACCGTGCCCCTGCCTCCATGCTTTCCCTCTTTGGTGGCCCTCTGGTTTCTCTTCATCCCTCTCCTCACCTGTGGAGCACACCTGATACTTGTCCCTACCCCTACTAACTTGGGGGAGATGCATGGGGACAGAGAATCTGTGGCAGCATCTCTGGTCTAGATGGTCCTAAGTGTCTGACACAGAAATATTGATTTTAAACACAGTCTGCTGCACCCTTCAAGAGCCAGGAGCTTTGTAAATACCTCCCAGTCCATCTGCCCAGCTTGCTGTGCAGAAGCTGTTTGCCTCTTGTGTAGACCCCTGGGATGCAAAGAGGTTATCAGAGCTCAGAAGAAATGTGGGCAGACCCACCAGAAAGGTCAATTGCACATTTTTTTCAGGCAATCTCAGGGCACTCATTTTGGGCAATAGGGCTATCTCATCAATACTCCTGTGCTCCTGGCTGTGCATTAGTGCCTCAGGCATCAACAAGGTGCTGAGAACAGACATGAATGTATAAATGCACCCTTGGTCAGGAGTGAAGTGCCTTATGGGGGGGGGTGGGGTGGG